TATGAGGGCTGAATTCGAACCTGGGCTCGAGATCGGAGAACCGAACGACTAGGTCCTAATAGCAGAGGACACACCAGCCAAACCGCCAGGTTTTGTCACACCGGAGGAAAAGAGCATATGCTTCGAAAGTATGTACCAAGAGGAGGGCATCCTTCAGGCACCTAAGGCCTGAGCAGACCAACCCTTCCAGGTTGCTAGCTAGAAGTAAAGGAGGGACCGATAAAGAATCTGGGTAAGAAGACGGTACCAAATGTGGGTATTGGGGTTGTTGTGAACCTTAATAAGAGCAAGAAGTAGATAATAGTCAACTGACTTGGGAAGGTTGTGGCTTGAGATACAGACTGGGTTATGGCAGCATTCTAAAAGATGGCTTGAGGTACGAATCCGGTATTAGCAGCATAACAGATACTAAAGTTGGTTACAAGGGGTTCAATGGTTAGCCCTAACCCCAAGTGCATAGGTTAAGCTGTGGTATAAAATTACCGAAGTCTGGGTGAGACACATGAGTGGGACAGGTGCCTCAGCAAATAGGCGAGCATGTCCTACTGTTGATCCAGAGGGTAACCTCCTAGTAAGTTAGGGCCAAAGAGGAGGTAAAACGTTGCTAAACGGTTATACATGGGCACCTTAGAGCAGTTGTGTAATGCTTTACGCACGAATGGGGGTACTAGGTCTGAGAACTGCAACACTGCAGAGGGAGGGACCCAGGATATATAGAAATATATAAACTAGGCTCTGTACTACCTTGTAATATACTTAACTGTTCAAATGTAATAAAGTGGTTACCGTTGAAACCAAAAAAAAAAATAAAAATAATAATAATAATAATAATCAAAAAACTCTTCCTGACAATCACCTGGACCAAAATTTTCTGCTAAAAAAAAACCAGAACTACTTGTTGGAGAGTCATGGCCTATACAGTGGTTTGTCTAGAGGTCACTTTAGAGAAATCTCAAGTTTTGTAACAAGATAGTTACTAGGTTGTTTCGAAATAGTTACTTAGCTATTACAATGAATTTATGATTTATTTTTATGCCTTATAGTTACTATATTATTTCAATATTGTATCTTAATTGTGTAAATATCATATAAAAATTGTATATTAATTATATCTATCTTATTAAGTATCACTGTAACAAAGTTATTTCAAAATTATAATAATATTTATTCAAAATTATTTTAATATAATTATAAGTTTGTTACAACTTCTTAACAATTTAAGTATCAAAGTTGTTACAAAATTACTTTAATATATTTGTGATATAGTATCTATGTTGTAAAGAAGTTGTATTTATATCATTATGATAAAGTTTAAAAAGTTGTTACAATTTTGATACAATGTTGTAAAGATATTGTTTTAATATTATAAAGACTTTGCTACAAAATTAAATTGATCTCTTAACAATTTAATATATTTTTTTATATGTAATAATAATCAACTGTATGAAATCTCACATATCTTGATATATGAATCTTATACTTTAGTGTTATATGTAGTTAATTCTATAAATGAATGTTTTATATATAACAAGCTGTAAGATTAAATCTCATATCAGTTCAGTATGATAAGTGTTAACTCTCTAGTTCATTATAAAGAAAGTTGACATAGTTCAAAAAAAATTTAATTCAAATGTACTATCATAATTTAGAAACTATAAATTAAAAAAGCTTCGTGAAAATATTCACTTGCATGCTGCAGAATATATGCACACATATGATATGCGAAAAATAAAAGTTTCTTTCTTTGAATCGCATCAACTTTCTTTATAATGAACTAGAGTGTTAATGCTTCTACACTGAACTGATATAAGATTTTACGCTTTACAGCTTGTTATGTATAAAATTTTCATTTCATAGAATTGAAAATATTTACATATCAATTAAAATCTCAAATGAAAGGTGACGAAACTGATGAATTGCAAAGAGTACAAAACTAATAAAAGATGAGAAACAGAAGCAAGTATAAGTAAAAGCACCACTGGCTCCTACATTTATGTTCATATAAGACTAAAATTTAAAACATACAATTGTATCAATTTTAATAAATAACTTAAGAAGTAATTAATCAATTAAGTAAATTAGCACAATTAAGATTATTTCACATATTTCTGTATATCGATATCAATTAAAAAATTATTATATCTATTGGCTAAATCAATAAAAGACTTTTTATTAATAAATTAGCACAGATAATAAAAATTATTAATAAGAGGTACGTACGTACGTACGTACATTGTTTTCAGATCTTCAATTATAAAATTTTTGTAATTGGCTTTTCAAAACCTAAATATACATCTTCGGCATTAAACATAGATGCTAATAGCTTATTTGCATTTATAATTCCTGTAATTGGCTTTTTAAAACCTAAATATACATACAAGGGCGCAATCTCACTTGCTAATTTTCCCGGGAGCATATTATCGTTTCAGTTCAAATTACAATGCATTATTCTGCAGACTTAAAGTCCTTTAATTGAATTTATTTCTGGCACCTTTGGCATGCCAGCATTCTTCCAATCACATGACCAATCGTACTTATGCTTTTTGACAACTTTGAAATTTTATATTTTGCAAATATATTTATTTTTTTATAAAAAAATAATTTAAATGATATAAATTATTCTATAATGTCAAAAAAATATTAAAAAGAATAAAAAACAAATATTCGTTAGAAATTCTATACTAGCAGATTTACTAAGATTTAGTTTTGATAATCTTTTACTAATCCAATGTGTTAAATGGTTTGCTGGCGTATATATTTTTTAGCTCTTTTTTAATTATTATAGAATTTTTGTTAATCTCATCACTTTTTAAAAACTGCTTTTTAATCTTAGTTTCAGAATTTCTATTCAAAATTTCCAACCATTCATTTATTTAGTAATAATTTCATTAGTAGTTGGCCGTTTTTCTGGATTTGAATCCATGCATCGATTTGCTAATTCAATATAATAATTAGGAGTTCCAATTCCAAATTTTGGTCACAATCCTTCACAAATCATAAACACAAGATCTATATCAAATTTATGATTATCAAAAGATCTCTGTCTAGTTGTCATTTCTACCATGATAATTCCAAATGAATAAATATCTGTTGCTTGAGTATACGCTTCTCTTTGAAAAAGTTCAGGAGCAATGTAAGGCAAGACACTATGAATCTGATCTTCATGCTCTTTCTCATCAAGTGGTTTTGATAAACCTAGATCAATAATATATGCTTTTTCTTTTAACAAGATATTTCCCGGATATAAATCTCAATGTAAATATCTTTTATCATGAATACAGCGAAGATTAAATATAATACTATGAAGTATCTTTAATTTAATTTTCCATTCAAACTTAAAGATATTAGCAAGATTTTTGCTTAATGACCCGTATTTTGCGTAACTTGTTACTAAAATATAATCGTCTGTTTTTTCGTCTCTTGATATTCTTAGATATTGTCCTAAACTTTGACAAGCTTTTAACTAAAAAAACAAAATAAAATTATTATATTTAAATTATTAAATACCTCTTTTAAGAATGGAACTTTATTCTTATTAGAATCTTTTACGATCTTGATTGCTATATCTTCATATGACCCAGAATGATTTAAATATTTGGTTTTAAAAACTGTAGAAAATGCTCCTTTACCTATTTCTTTGATATTTTGGAATTTATTATATACCATTCAATGAAAAAATCTGTCTTTTCTTCTAGTGGTTTTAGCTTGTTCAGTGATAGCAGAATTTAAGAAATCTTGTATAATTATTAAAATCTGTGCATAAAAGTAGAACAGAATAAAAGATATAACAGCAACAACATTGTTATAGATAGTGTTATATAAAGTTCTCACCTAATTGGTTGGCTTTTCCCTCTAGAATAACTTTTAATAGTCTATATTAAAACTGTAAACACCTAATTCGTTTACAGCCATTTCACCTACAAGCCATTTAATCTACATCACACAAGCAACTAATAATTAATTAAATACTGGATTAATAAAATAAAAGATTCAGATGATATAGATGAAATTCAATTATTGGCTTAATAAAATAAAAGGTCAAGATGGCATAGGCCAAATTAAAGAACAAATTAATTATTTTTCGGATAAAATAAAAGCTAAATTTTATTCTATATAACCCCTGCCGATCATCTCTTACTGAAAATCGGCAAAATTCCCTAATTTTAGAGCTTTTTTTGTGAATAAATCTAAATTTATTGCTAACAAATAAAAATTCTCAAGATTTTTCTTCAATTCTCACTTTTCTAATATTGTATCTAGTTATACACAAAAATTGGCCATAGATTTGGCTAAATAAAATAGTGAATTTTGTATTTTTATTTTTGCTATTCGTAATCTATACAAATTAAAGTTTTTTTTGAACTTTGAGCAATGATATCTCGATAGCAACCAAGTCAAACTCAATGAAATTTTTTTTATTTGAATTCTAATAATACATAGAATTCAAATAAAAAAAAGTTTATCAAGTTTGACTTGGTCACTATTGAGATATTGTCGCTCAAAGTTCAAAAAAAAACTTAAAAAAAATATATATATATTCAAAAAGAGAGTGGGTTAGAAAAATAAGAGAAAGAAAGATAAGTGTAAAAAAATTGGTTAAGGAAAAAAAAAAAATAAAAGACTTAAAAAAAATAAAAATAAAAGAAAAAAAAAAAAAAAAAAAAAGAAAAAAAAAAAAAAAAAAAAAAAAGAAAAAAAAAAAAAAAAAAAAAAAGACTAAAAAAAAAAAAAAAAAAAAAAAAAAGCTCTTTTTCCTATTTTTTCTGACGTCTCATTTTTTTTGACGTCCTATTTTTTTTTGGCCCATTTTTTTTTACATCCTATTTTTTCAACATCTTATTTTTTTTACCTTCATAATAGAGTCACATATTATGTAAATTTAACAACAATAATAAATTTAATAAATAAATTTACTTTAAATTATAATGCTTTAAAATCAGCTACGGAATGATAAAGAATTAAATAGTGCTAAATACATTATTTGAATCAAATATAAAATATTATAATTTTATGTTACTAGCGAAATTTTTGCCGTTTCGTGATGGAATAGCAATATTTTTTGTTAATCTATCTAATGCCCTTGTCCCTTCAATATCTCTTGAACTATAATTAATAGCAAATGCACTTTGAATAAACTTACATAAATGAGATATTGAATTTTGAATTCATAATTCATCTTCATTCGTGGCATTCAGCCATCGATTTAATACATCTAGTGTTGCAAATTCATTTACAAATACGATAATTTCTTCTTTTTGTAGAGTGCTTACTGTAGGGCTATATTTATAAGAAAATATAAATATTATCATATATTAAGTTCAAAAAACATAAATAAAATACTAATACTAACCGAGTTCTTTCATTTTTAAAATTTTTAACTAACACCTCAACACCATTGATTAATTTGTTGCGAAAGTCACCAAAGTGTCTTTTAGCGATTTGGAGCCATTTAATGCCTTCAGTTGAATTGAGATCATATTTAATAATTTGTCGTACTAAATCCTCAAGTGCTTTTTTGGGAGGATTTCGAGTACGAAGAAAGAAACACTTCAGTTCTTCTAAGAAGTCTCAACTGACCATCACCTATTACACGAGTTTAGAAATTATAAAAATATTTAATAAAAAAAAATCAGGAAAAAAATAATTTACTTTATCGTTTTGATTTTGCATTGTATTTGATAATGCTAAAGAGATAGAGGGCATAAATTGTGAGCCATCTGCAGCTGAAGTTTGCATCGATAAGTTCATATAATTTGCAAGTTGCAAAATATTAGGATTTGCATATAGCCATAGACAAATTTGATAAATTGTTATTTCGTTAAATATTGATGGAATGGTTACACTATTAGAATTAGCATGGCTCAATGCACTATTTGAAAAGTTCGATTCTAGAATTGATGATGTTCTTAAAGGCGCGAATACTGGATTAGTTGGAAGCTGATAGAAAGAAGTAGAATTATTTAGAATATTAGTTCTTGACCCTAAAGCTCGTTGTGGAGGCACAGTCCTTGACTTTAAAGTTGGTGAAAGTTGTCTTAAAGGTGCAATTACTCGAGATGGAACTTAACTCTAAAGTTGGAGATATATTTTCTAATTTTAAAATTGGTAATCCAATTCCTAATCCTAGAGCTGGCGAATATTTCTGTGAAGGTATAATATCTGGAGATTGAGATAATCTGCTAGTACTTGCAGCTTTGTCGTTATTGCCTAAAAGAGAGATTATGATTAAAAAATATTATGATTAATAAATATTATAAATTTATAAATATAAAAAGTAATATTTGCTTTGTATATCATTATCATTATTCAAAAGTTCATCAATTATTTGTGAGGTTGAAAAAGCAACTGTCTTTTGCTTTTTGGGGCAACCTCGCTTTTTAGCAGTACAGGTATTTGTTTCACCTTGTAAATTGTTAACACTTAAGAGATCAATATGATAATTATTATAAATTTACAAATAAATATAAAATTTTATCTAGTATATTATCATCATCACTCAAGAGTTCATCAACTACTTGCGAAGATGAAGAAGCAACTACTTCTTGATTTTTTTTGCAACTTCTCTTACTAGCTGTACTAACTTTTGTTTTATCTTGTAAATTATTAACATTAATACTTAAAGCATTTTGTTTTTTATGGCCTCGTTTAGCAGGTTTAGCAGGTTTAGGATTGTTTGCAATTCTCTTTGAATTTCTAGTACTCATGTTTATTTTTTATTTGAATTCTGTGGATTCATAGAATCTAAATAAAAAAATTTTCATTGAGTTTGACTAGATAGTTGCTGAGAAACCTTCACTCAAAGTTTTTTTTTAAAAAAATCAAACTATCTATTATAATAGAAAGCTGTGCCAAATTTTTTTAAAACTTTGAACAAAGATATCTCAGCAACTATCTAACCAAATTAAGTAGAATTTAAATAAAAAAATTTTCATCAAGTTTGACTAGATGGTTGCTAAGAAACCTTTGCTCAAATTTTTTTTTAAAAATCAAACCATATAATAGAAAGCTGTGCCAAATTTTTTTTAAAACTTTGAATAAAGATATCTCAGTAACCACCTTTCCAATTCAATATATTTTTTTTTATTTGAATTCTGTAGATTCATAGAATCTAAATAAAAAAATTTTCATTGAGTTTGACTAGATGGTTGCTGAGAAACCTTCGCTCAAAGTTTTTTTTTAAAAATCAAAATGTCTATTATTACAATAAAAAGCTGTGCCGAATTTTTTTAAAACTTTGAGCGAAGATATCTCAGCAACTACCTGGCCAAATTCAATATTTTTTTTTTATTTGAATTCTGTGAATTCATAGAATCTAAATAAAAAAAATTTCATCGAGTTTGACTAAATGGTTGCTAAGAAACCTTCACTCAAATTTTTTTAAAAAATCAAAATGTCTATTATAATAGAAAACTTTGAACGAAGATATCTCAGTAACCACCTAACCGAACTAAATAAAATTTTTTTTATTTGAATTCTGCGGATTCATAGAATCTAAATAAAAAAAATTTCATTAAGTTTGACTAGATGGTTGCTGAGAAAACTTTGCTCAAATTTTTTTTTTAAAAATCAAAACATATAATAGAAAGCTGCGCCAAATTTTTTTTAAAACTTTGAACGAAGATATCTTAGCAACCACCTGGCCAAATTCAATATATATTTTTTTATTTGAATTCTGTGGATTCATAGAATCTAAATAAAAAAATTTTGATCAAATTTGACTAGATGGTTGCTGAGAAACCTTCACTCAAAGTTTTTTTTTAAAAATCAAAACATCTATTATTATAATAAAAAGCTGCACCAAATTTTTTTAAAACTTTGAGTGAAGATATCTCAGCAACTACCTGGCCAAATTCAATATATTTTTTTTATTTAAACTTTGTGGATTCATAGAATCTAAATCAAAAAAATTTCATTAAGTTTGACTAGATTGTTGCTGAGAAAACTTCGCTCAAAGGTTTTTTTTAAAAATCAAAACATCTATTATAATAAAAAGCTGTGCCAAATTTTTTTAAAACTTTGAACGAAGATATCTCAGCAACTATGTAGCCAAATTTAATAAATTTTTTTTTATTTGAATTCTGTTGATTTGTTGAATCTAAATAAAAAAAAATTTATTGAGTTTGACTAGATGGTTGCTAAGAAAACCTTTGCTCAAAGTATAGTTTTTTTAAAAAATTAAAATGTATCAAAATAGAATATTCTATATGTATTTGATTTTCAGATGTATAACAGTGTGTTACACAAAAAATTTGCAGCCTGATCTTATATGAAAATTATCTATGTTTACCCTACCCTTAAACGGTTCATGACGAACCAGGAAACTGTTAATAAACAACTCACTAAAATTCTGGAATGACATAATATACAAGAACAAACTGTTGTTGAAGGCATGACTTATGTTCAGTCTCAACAGGCAAAAAGTTTGTCTGTTCAACTGCTGGTATTTTATGGAAAGGAAAAAGAAAACGTTGCAACATGCCTACTCTAAGTTGATTTACTATACAAGACACGAAAAATAGAAGATGAGAAATGATTATAGTATGTAATAACTGGATTGAAAAATGCGGCACTACAATAATACCTTAATAAAGTTTAGACTCATGAAGTACAAAAACCGTTTGACAACTGGAACAGTTTTGTGGATGAAATAAAACAAGCGTTTTAGCTCCCACAACACCAACAATACTTGAGGTGACAATTAAGAAATATTAAATAGACCTTAATGGTACAGGAGTACATCTCAAAGTTCAGAAATATTTTGGGCCAAGTGGAACAAATGGATAAAGCGAATAAAATACTCAACTTTGTAGAAGGCTTGAAATCGGCAACCAAAGCTAAAGTCAGTTACCATGTACCTGAAAGTCTTGAGGATGCAATATGTTTAGCAACAATGTATAATACTGCTATATATGTTGTTGGCAGAACAGGAAGTCTAGTCTCTGAAAAAATTAAAAGTAACAACTCTAAATCCAGCGGTCTAGGTGATAATGAAGTGGTTCCAATAGAGCTTGACAAGACTGAAGTAAGAAAATTCTATAGAAATGTAAAGAAAAGCAAACAAGTTGTAAGAAATAAACAAAAAATGAAGTATAGACAAAAAGGACTATATTTTAAATATAGGCAAAAAGGCCATATAGCAAAAATATGCTCCAATAAACAAACCTTGTACTCTGAGACTTCGTCAAGTTCAAATACTAATGTTGAACAAGCAAACTTAATAGAAAAAGAAGGCAGTGTTTGTAGTGAAAAGAAAAAAAACCTCCTATGGGTAAAAGAGAAAATTGGTAAAAAAGATGCCCTAATTTTAATAGATTTCGGTGCCTCCAAGGATTTTATTAATGCCCAATTTGTCAAAACATATCAATTAACAATTGATAAAAGCAAAGAAGAAAAGTCAATTGTTGAATTAGCTGATGAAACATTTTGTGAATCACGTGGTTATATACTAAATATAAAAATTCAATATATTCTTAGAAAAAATGAAGAAATAGAATAGAAGTCTTACTATTACAAAAGTATAATGCAATATTAGAGAAGCCACGGTTATATGCATCAGGAAGTTTGAAAAGCATTTGAAAACTATTAACTAATGCTAGTTATTATTTAACACTAAAAGAAGTAAGGAAATGAACCCTATACAGACTAACAGCATTAATAAACAACTTAAAAATGCATTAAACAACACATTTTATTAATTAA